GGAAGGATAATGAAGATCGAGATGCTTTCCCCTAGTCATCTTGTGTTTCTGCATCTAGTTCTGGAGGAATCTTTTCTGAATGTTTTGTGCTGCAGACTGGTGTATAATATAGATGCCTCACAAGGTTTGCACAGTGGCTGTGAGACTGAGTGCTTGCTGGAACAGAAGCCTAGATTACAGGCATGCTAGATTTACTCTAGAAAGCAGGATAAATGAGATGGCACAGAGTTGTCTGGTTCTGCATCAGGTATTTACAGGTATACACTCTTAGGTGTCTCTCAGAGCCACTCGGATGTCTTTATAATTCAGCTTGCTATCTAGCCATAAGACTCCATCTGAAATCCTGGCATCCTTGACCTCAGAGTAATACTCTCTGTTAACTGGAGCGATCTCAGGGTTTTGTCCTTTTTTCTACTGATTCTCTCTAATTTCAAATGGGAAATGCCACCTGATACTGATTGCTGCAGTATGCATAGTTATCCGTTAGCAAACTAGGCTGAAACCGCTGACATGTCTTATATGATCAATAAATAGATAGTAGTGGTTTGCCTGTAACTAACTTGGGTTCCATAGGTTAGCATAACATTCACTGAACCATCCAGTCTCCCTTACTAGCCTCTACTTTGTCTTTCGATACTTCATTTTTGATACTTACTTTTGATCACAGAATTGAATGCTCTGAGCAAGCCTGGGTGGCATTTTGGTATGAGCCTTGGCGGTGGATGGCATTGTAAGAGCCAGTAATAATTCCTGTGTTTGGTTCAGACACTAGTTTTGAATGTGTTTTGGTACAATACCAAAAGCTAGTATCTCATTTCAAAGCGACCAGTTTGTTTTTATGACGTTCTGTTCATATAGTTGGTTAAAAAAATCTCCCAGTTTAAGTACAACAGGATAGATATCTATAAGAGAAAAAGTAAGTATGCATGTTACCATTGGTTAACAGGCTCATTTGAATTCAGCAAATTTTCCGTGCTTGGATTAGGCTGAACAGGCTCCTCACAAGATAGTAAAGAGGATAGGAATCTCCAGAGAACATTTAGAATATTCAGCAAACTGAAAATGAGATTTTTCTTTTAGAGGTTCATACTTTTTTCCTTTGACTTTAAAAAAGACCAAGGCAGTTAGGTTCTAGCTGAGGTACTGAAAACAATGTAAGCTCAACTTTGGGTGCCTAGATAAAGGTATAACTTAGGATGCTTGGGGCTTTACATTTATATGTCATAGTTCATAATGAATTGCATCATCAAGATTTGTACCTCTATCAGCTGGCTGCACAGTCTGTATTTTCCCATGTAAAAAGATGGTTGTACAAGTAATTACCTGCTTTTAAATGGATGTGCAGATTTTACTGGCATGATGGACTATGAGCAAATTGTGGGAGCCATAAAAGTGCCTATACTTTTTTATTTGGTACTATCCATTCACACTAGGGATGCATAAAATCTAGTAGTTATTTAAGCCTTTAAAATGGGAAAAGAGCTGAATATAGACATTGATAATAAATTTCGTACTTAAGCAAGAGGAGATACTTAGTTTATTTTTGCAGGTTACAGCCTGTCTCTGAAAGGAAAGGTTTATGATCGAGGTATTAGTGTCTGAGAGAATCAGTAGTTCAGAAAGAGAGCAAGTGCTGGATACATGAAGCAAATTAGCTGTGTCCCATCTAGAAAAGGAAAAATGAGTTCCAGGGGAAGGATGGCATGGGAAATAGGAGTGGAGGGACGTAGGGTTGAAAGGGTGCTATCAGTCCATAGAAAACATCAAAAAAATCCTATTTTTGACTTTCTTTTTTAAAAATTAGGGCTCTTGCTTTTCTTCTCATGGGAGATATTTAATGTTTTTAAAGAAAAGAGGGTAAAAAAGCGCCCACCCCCCAAAAGTGGCAATATGCCAATTCTTATTTAAATACAACAGCACTTTCTGCTGGTGTGATTTAAATGAAGTGGAATCAGGTCATTGTGAGGTCAGAATAAGACTGAAGAGCGAATGATTTAGTAGATTTAGATTTATGGTAGATTCACTATAAGCTACGGCACCATAAACCGGGACAGAAAGAGTCTGAATTGTTATGATCTCAATAATATGATGTTTAAATTAATTTCGGGTCAATATATTTGAAAGTCAGTGAGGAAAGTACTAATATAAACTATGTTTGAGGTTGGTCAATGCCATTTAAGAAGACATGTTAGGAGTTTCCTTCCGCAGTCCTTATACGCTTGTGTAGCATCAAGGACCACATGTTTTTGTGTTTAAGCATTTAGAAAATTTTGTTCTAAATCCACTCACAAGCACATTTACTACTTTTATATGCAAAAGCATGTTCTTGGGCAGGAAGCAGCCTGAGCGCTACATTCTCTGCAGGAATGGCGTGTGTCCATCCTTCCCCATCCACCTCTCTAGCTGCCATAAAAAACTACACTGCTTCGCAGAGATGCAACACAATGTGACAGGTACATACACAACACCTGGGCACCGGGTCTTGCCATTTTGTAGTTCCTTGCACTCTCTATGACAAAGCAAAAATCTCTCTTCTCTGTTAGAATTTGGCTCCAGGAAAGAAAAGCCTCTTTCCCATGGAAGATAGCTAGTTTCTGCAAGACCAGGACTGCTTTCAGTGCGTTGTTCCATAGTGTGGTATACCTGGGTTCATCCCTTTTGTAGCCCTTTCACCATAGTTTCCCTTAATCCAGTTTTGGATTGCATGCACTGCAAAGGAAGGCAGCTCACAGGTAATTCTGACCTGAGTTTTTTTTACTCAGAGTACTCTTGCAAAGGAAGTAGACTGATACATAGGAAAACATACATTTAATTTTACAACAGGAAGAGTTTACAAGTTCCTAACCATTAAAAGATATTAAACATATTTGCCTGTGTGAATTGACCAGACAAGTTAGATTTGATATTTATATACACTGAGGTACCTTTGCATGAATGGGACACTACAGAGGGTTGTTAATGTGAGAACAAATAAAAATTGCATATGCTTTTAGGTATTTTAGAGATCTGTTGTGAGATAAGGGAGACTAAGTAGTTCAACTACTTAAAAATTATTAAAAAAACTTTGTAGTTGGATTAACAAATGAAGAAGGGCTAGCATGTTTAAAATAATAGTAAGTGATGTATTTCTAGGCAGGCCTATTGATTCTCACTAAGATTTTTACTCATCATTTAAGCATTTTTTGTAAATCCATCCCTTGTCTCCCAAATCTAATTAGAAATTGCTTCCATTGAAGCCCCCAATAAAATACAGAATAATAGAAATTGCTTAAATAGCATTATTCGCTGCATCTATATCACCGTATCCAAAGAGAACATTATTCACTTAAGCTTTATGCCAAACTGGTCTTTCTCTTGTCAGAGAGAGTAAACCCATAAGGAACAGAACAATTGAGGTAGCTGACATCAGTGACTACATAGACATCTCTTTCTGCTGGGTTTGCACATCTTTCCTAGCCCAGTGTCAACACAGAGGCATAGGGAAAGCAACGTGATGTTATCAGAATCTCACTGCCTTTGCTGTAGCTAGTATTTTTATTCCTGGAAATCTCTTGTCATGCTCAAAATAACAAAGATTGCATATAAAAGCAGGGCAATCAACCAGCAGCAATTAAAAACATGCTGATAAAAAATGGAAAAAGTCTGAGATGAAAACTGTCCAATATGCTGATCAGCTACATCAAGCTATTAGTGTCTGTGCAGTCCTGAAGTCAGAGAGGCTTTGATTTTAGATAATGTCATATACTACCCATTTATTAATAGACCTCTTCCATCAGAGTTAGCCTGCACTGGGTGGAAAAGAATAAAAAAAAAAAAAAAAAAAAGTGAGAGAGTTTCAGAGGCAGTGGTATATCCTTGTTTAAAAGAAGGCTGAAACATGGGATGTAGTCACCTGGAAAGATGTAGCGGAGGTAATGGTCTGACTCAGTATAACCCTCATATTTTCGTGTCAAGTGTTACTTTATTATAAACCTCTTTGAGTTGTCAGCAGCATTTATTATGCCACAGGAACTGAAAAACAGGCCAGGGAAGTCTCTATCTTGCAAGAACATAATTTGTTAGTTGCAAATTAGCTTTACCTTTTGGCTAGTCACCACATAGGTGCAATAAGTCAGGTTTGAGCACAGAAGTTTTGATTGATTGGTTCAGCGCTCGATCAATCACCTACTCATGTCAATGATAGTTCATAGGTTTTTTTCTCTCTTGCTCGTCTTGGGCAACAGTGCAAGGGAAAATTTCCATAATCATTCTCTTCTGAGATATTTTTTCCTAAGTATTAAAGATATCCTGTTTCCTAGATTTGCAAATACTTCAGTTATTACAAGTACATTGTGCTATAAGTAGGATTGTATTTGCTTCAAAAGTGTTTGTTGTACTGTGCACAAAAATAGCAGAATACAAAAAAAGGTATCCACGAAACGAAAAAGGAACGCGTGATTTGGAGGTCTGCTAACGTCAGAAGGTACTGGATCTGAATATTAACGAGTCATCTGGATTTTAAGGTAATAGATGATCTTCTGAGAGGTCCTAATAAACAGACATAGGCTGAGAAGCTGACATAGATTAAGAAAAATATACCACACATGCACAAACATTTACCACTTGTACCTTTCCGCAAAACTATTTTTAATGAAGGAACAAAAATCCAGTCTTGTAAACACATGCTGAAGTTCTGGCTGCAGTAATCTCATTTCTTAATGGCTTGCCAATGGCTGGAAAATGCATAACTAAATCCATGTTGACTGTGCCTATTTATGACAACCTGGTTCAGTAGATGTGCATATACACTACATTTGTATAGTTAAATATACAGGAGAAGTGTTTTAACAGAATAGCTCTAAATTTTGAGGTGTGCTTATACTTTGTAATTTTCTTGCTTGATGTGACTTTTAACATTTGCCCAGCCAGTCTCTCTGTCTCTCTGTCTCTCTCTTTCTCTGTGAGGTTCACATGTAAACTGATTTAAAGATTGCATAATGACTGTTTGGCATATCCTACAGGCAAAGGTCCAGAAACCCTTTTTGCTGGCTATAACCTCAATGATAATGAGTGGCACACAGTGCGTGTGGTTCGGCGAGGAAAAAGTTTAAAGTTAATGGTGGATGACCAGCAGGCCATGACAGGTAGTGTGACGTTGTGACTCTGTGTTACTGGGGGGGGAACACAAAGCAAAAAATGGCAGAAGTGAAATGCCTTTATCTGAAAGCAAGAGATACTTTTTTCTTTTCTTGGGTAAGATCAAAAATCCACATTATACATTTTGAAATATTGCTACTATGAGTGCATTATTACACTTGATGTTAATGTTAGCCTAACATTGCTGTTGAAATTAATGAAAACCTCCATGCTGACTTAAATGAATGTTTTTATACAGTAATTGGAGAGAAGTCATTAGATACATCACTAATGAGAAGGCAAGTAAAATGCTTTTGGCAACACACTGAATTTATATTAAGGTTAAACTCTAAGCCATTGCTGTAAGAAAGAACTTCATAAATGTTTGAAGGATATTCTATTGTGTTTTAAATCTTGCATCAGCTGTCCTCAATAATTAAACGTTAGGCAACAGGTTTTTCTCAAATACTAAAATAGTGGTTGAGATGGGAGAAAAAACATGGCATGAATGCTAGCAAACATTAGAAATACACTCCTGTGTATATGTTTCCAGAAATGATGATAGAGAAGACTTAGATTTTGCTCTGTTGAAGATAAGCGTTGTTAATAGCAACAGACCTGGCTTCTGGCCCCGATTCCTTGCACAATAAATGTGCCTGATTTTGTGTTAGCAATTTAGTATGTTCCTTTGTTTTCATGTAGCATTAAATAGCTTTTGTCATTTGCTTTAAGCTTTGTTAAAATGGTAACAGTTTTAATGGGTTTTTTAAAAGGAAAGCACTTTCTTCAGTAGTCTTTCTTCACCTCAGCAGAACACTGAAGACCATGACACTGGTAGAAAAATAATTGCTATGTATTCATATAGCTGCAAAACCACACTTTTCTAGAATCAGAAATTACTAATAGATCTTCCAGAGGTGAAGCAAAAATTTAGTCTGTGTATGTGATGATGGTCATTCTCCCAAGAAAGCAGATGGCCTAAACCAATTATTTTCTTTGTGAAAATAAATATATGGTACTGGAGGAACTATACTGAAAAATAACATCTTATTGCTTCAACTGGCAACTCAGATAATAAGGCTACTTTGGGGACATTTTCTATTTAGAGGAAGCTGTTTAGCTCTGAATAAAATATAGCCTCTAAAACCAAACGCAGATTTCGTGGGCTCCTCATGGCAGATTTTTTATTTACAAATACTCCAGATTACAAAACCACCAAGAAGTACTGTTTTCACCTTTGGGTTCATTCCCAGCTGCTCAGCACAGCTTCAGAAAAGTTCAAAATATGTGTGAAGGATTAAGATGAAAACAGGAGGTTTCTATCATATATAGTCTAGTCAAGTGAAGTAATAAGTAAAGAACACAGGACTGTAAGTTCTTGTAATCACTCGCCATTGCGGATAGCTGCAGTTACTATTAAATACCAATGGTCTCAGCAAATAGCTGAGACACCACTAACGGGCTTCCTAGAGAGGCGGTTGATGCCCCAAGCCTGTCAGGTTTAAGAGGCATTTGGACAATGCCCTTAAGAACATGCTTTAACTTTTGGTCAGCCCTGAAGTGGTCAGGCAGTTGGACTAGATGATCGCTGTAGGTTCCTTCCAACTGAACTACTCTATTCTAGCTGTTCAAGCCAGTGAGTCTTTTCAGTTGCCTCAGAATCATGCGACTTCAGTGCAACACTTGTGTTCTTTCCACGTGCTAGTACCTGTATCAGATGCTGGCCAGTTGACTCAAAGTCCCTCTCAGTTCATGAAGCTGGAAGTTGCTTACATTTGCGTAATCCACAGATGCTTAATGTTCTTCATCCAAGGGGAGAAAGTCATCCTAGTATTCTGAAGGGAAAAAAGTCTTCCTAAACTCCCTGCAGGCAGCTGTGTGGCACATCTGTGGCCTCCTCTGTCAGTGAGGAGAGAACTGGCATGAGAGAAGAGGCTAGAGAGAACTTGAAGTCTGATAGCTGCTGTTAGTCCCAGGAATATTACATTTTCTACACAGAAAATCTTCATTGCCATGTAGTGCTGTGTGTTGCCAAAGCTTTCAAGAGCTTAAGTTTTCACTCCCATCTGGTAGAAAGTCAAATGTACACAATGCAATTTAATGTGTAGTAGCTTTGAATTTCCTGAAGGGGTAGTGGAAGAGTTGCCATATCAGATGGTCTAAACTGCTTAGAACTTTTCTTCAGATGTCCCAATAATCAGAAATGTGGTTAAAATATAACCCTGTGGTTATTCATGTGAAAGGTTATTATAATCTTATGGGAGCACAAGGAAAAAATGGACTTTTTCCTAAAAATTCCAGCTTCCCCTGGCCACACAATGTTTTTTCCTTTTTTTTTTTGATTCCATTTCCTATGTCACATATGAAAAAACCCTGTCAGATCCAGAAAGCTTAAGCTGGAGCAGAAGCCATTAAGTAATTCAGCCTCACTTTCCATTTTTTACAGGTTATAAAATATCACCTGTTCATCCATGTACTGAGCTTAGTTATCTTTGACGAATGCATAATTTCAGCATGGATAAATAATACCTTTCAGAATCATAACTAGCTTTCATTGGAAGTCATACAGGGGTTTTTAAAAATTTTACTCATCATAGAAGAATTTAAATACTTGCAGCCCCAATGCACTTTGTTTTCTGGAAATGTATAGAAAATAAGTGGACTGAAGGAGGTCACTAAAGTTGGATAATGGAAAGGATAGCTAGCTTATGGATATGAACAGAAATTCACTTGGCCTTTTGTATGTCCTATTGCATTGCAACAGGTAATACATTCCATGCACCAACCTGACAAGTTAAAAAAAAACAAAACAAAAAAGCCAAACAAAAAACCAAACCCAACAGACCAAAACCCCTAACCTTGTAAGCACAAACTGCACTGTTTCTCCTCTTCATTGCTGCAGTTGCGAATACTATGGAGCATTATGTGAAGTCTCAAGTCCTGTTAGCGTGCTTGTACAACTGAAATGTTAGAGGGAGATTTGGGATGTGAGCCCAGATTCTGGAATTTTTTTATTACCATGCTTAAGAAAGAAATACATTTAAGGTAGTGAATGTAGTGAGGATACTGTGCTACAGGCCAAGGCTTAGTGGATTTTTGCCATGACATTTATGCAATGCCATCTGAAGTGATATAAGACTGAAATACATAATGTTCCTCCTCTAAAACATGATCTTCAGCTCTCTGGCTGTGATCCAATATACAGCTCTTGGCCTTGCAGAAAGTTACAGATTTGACATTTTTCAAGACAGCTCCCTGACTCATTACTGCAAGGAAGAACCCGCCTTTGCTAATACATCAGGAGAGGTGGTACCTTCAGAACTTATCTTTAGAAACAAGAATATCAAGAAGGCTGTCCTTGGGGATTAAGGTGCCTCTTACAGAGCTCAGCCTGTATGACTGCAGATCCCAGATGCTGATGGTGTTCAATGACATCAGTAGAGTTAGATCAGAATGCATTCTGAAGCTAAGTAAGCTGCTGGTAAATATTTATCATAAATTATTAGAGCAATTTTTTTTAATTTTATTAAAGCTCGCAGACCTTTTTTCACTGTAACTTCACTGATACCTTGTATTTGCATCTTAGTGCTGTGACTTGCCCTGTTTGTGAGTCCATCTCCTTGAGCAAAGCCCAAATACCTACGTTCATCTTGCCCTTATCCTTTCCCTGTCCGCACACGCATACACAGACGCTTGCTTATAAAACCTATGAAGGGTACAGCTGTCTAAGGCTGCCTCAGGGCTTTCTGCACCACCGCTAAGCATGATCAGCCTGGGTCAGAGCTCACGCTGTCCTCTTGGAATAGTACGTTAAGGGAAGGACAGAGGGAACTCGGCCTGTCAACACCTTTGCACTGCAACTGTGGGAACCTGTGTTACAGATCAGTTTTACCCTAGTATTTATTCCAGCTTGGCTCAGTCTGCTGTTCACCCTCTTTGTACTCTGAGACACACGAAACATCTAAGGAACTGGGAAGTCTAGTCCATGGTTTGCAGAAGGTGTAGATTAAGTGGTAAAATTTCTTACTGATAAAAAGCTGTTTTATCATCATACCCACACAACGTGACCATGAATCAGCCTCGTGATAGTACTGCCCTACTTCTTTAAAAAGCATGGGGGGAAAAAAAAAAATCCAAGGTCTGTTAGAAAGGGAACTCTTCAGTGGACACAATTTTGATGTGCTGGGTAAGGTATTTAATAACTAGCTTAAAAACTTACCCTGCCTGTACACGGTGTACCCTGGCAGTGTTGATCCTTCAGATTAGCTCTACAGTCAGCAAATTTCAGGCTTTTTGCTGTGCAAGGAGTCCTTGCATGACAAAGACAGGCTCAAAGGTAGCTGTGAGGCTTGGTTTTGGCCACCTTTCTGATGTAAGCAAATCCCTTGCTATTTTCAGGATTACAGGACACTGTCATACACCCTTGCTGTAGGCTTTCTGCTTCGGCCATCTCTTGGGCTCTGCCCCCTTCTCCCATGGTTTATCCCTGTGGTACAAAACTAGTGGCTTTCAAGGAAGATTCTGTCTACCTTCGCAGCAGGGCCAGCATTAATGTACCTAAGCAAAACACATGAAGTAATATCCCCCAAACTGTTACGCATTTCTTCCATGAAGTTCTAGCATTGTAGTTTTAGCTCTAAGATTTGCCTTTGTGTTCTCCATGTTGTGTTAATTAATTGCACTTGCTTATAATAAAACCACGTCTGGTTAAGTGTAACCAAAGTGAGGGATTTTGTTGGCAGTTTGATATAATGTGGTATTGTGCTTTAGTTTAGAAATCTTGCTGTTGGCCTTATCCAAAGATACTGAGCTCAGTGGAAAGGCTGCCAGATGTTTACCAGTAGTTTGAATAAGAATCTTCTTTGGAGCCAGGAACTGGCCTTGCACGTTCTGAAAAGTGTGAAATCGAAGCAGATAGATAGATACTTAATCACATGATGTGCTTTTTGACCTCCCTTTTCAGATGCTAACATGTGTTTTCTTGTTACCATTTAAAGGTCAAATGGCTGGTGATCACACACGACTGGAATTCCACAACATAGAAACAGGAATAATAACAGAACGGCGCTACCTGTCTTCTGTGCCTTCTAATTTCATTGGGCATCTACAGAGTCTTACATTTAATGGCATGGCGTACATTGACTTATGTAAAAACGGAGACATCGATTACTGTGAGCTAAATGCAAGATTTGGGTTCAGGAACATCATAGCAGACCCTGTAACCTTTAAAACAAAAGCAAGTTATGTTGCATTGGCCACGCTACAAGCATATACATCTATGCACCTTTTTTTCCAGTTCAAAACAACCTCTCTGGATGGATTGATACTTTATAACAGTGGCGATGGAAATGATTTCATTGTGGTTGAATTAGTAAAAGGGTATGTATGGATTAGCATAATGACAAAACCAGTCTATTCAAAATGTATGCACAGGAGAAATACAAGGGAAAGCTTAGGATACAAATCTTTATTTGACTGAACATAAATGATTGATGAATATTTTTTCATGTTAAACTTCATATGCTTTAGTGTGACTTTTTTCTTTCAGGTGAAGCTAGATGCCTGAAAAATATGAAAGTAAATAATAGGTATAACTGCTATAGTGTTTACCACAGAGAAGTACTAGTTTGTAGCCTTCCTCTGGTTCTCTCTCTACGTGTGTATGCGTGTGTTGGTACACGGAGTGCTCCTTACTTTCCAGAAACTTGGGACTGCATCTCAGCTCATCTAAATGAATGGTGATTTCTCTGAGTTAAGATTGCTTCCCCATCTGGCATTCATTGTTGTCTTCCACTTGTACCAGCACTACTGAGGAGTACAAGGAAACAGGAAATAGTCAACATTAATTAGTGCTCCCTTGCTATGTAAAGAAAAAGGAAACTTTTCCAATTTTTTCTCTTTTCCTAGGTATTTACACTATGTGTTTGACTTGGGAAATGGTGCAAATCTCATCAAAGGAAGTTCTAATAAACCTCTGAATGACAACCAGTGGCATAATGTGATGATATCAAGGGATACCAACAATCTCCACACTGTAAAGATTGACACTAAAATCACAACACAGAGCACAGCGGGAGCCAGAAATTTAGATCTCAAAAGTAAGTACAGTAATTCCTGTATAACCTACAGTGAAGGTCATTATGGAATGATAACCTGAATAAATCATGTATGTAAAGTACAGTATAACTTTGTAATACCATATAAAATGTTTTATTTGATAATAACTAATATGATTACAAGAGATGACATCCTTATGTTAGCCTGACACTGCCAGTTTTTTAGTAGTTCTGCACAGTTAGGTACAGCTTCAAATGTGTGAAAATTCCACAGGAGAAAAAAAAAACAATGTAGAAAATGGTAAGAACGCAGGGTGGCCCATATATACCAAAACATAATTGGGGGACTAAAGGAGCTCTAAAATGTCTATGAAAAAGGCTTGATTTTTACATGAATGTAAGTCATGTAAGTGGCATGCAGAAACCACAGCCCAAGCGTTGCAGTATGACTACAAAGGCTTTGCAGAACTGATGATCTCTATATTAGAGAATTGGGGAACATTTTGACCTGTCCCCCACTGTTCAGTATTCCACATAAAACCTACATTTTGTTGGGAAAATAAATACAATGCAGTATTTTGATATCATAAAATATCTTGTAAGTAAAGCAATCATATATGGCATTCCTCCAATGAATCGGTTATAAATACAAGTTGCCAGATGTATTGAATCATAAACATATACTCATCTAAATATGTAATGTGTTGTAATTTCAATTGCAGAGTGGGATAAACTTTGTTTTCTAGGTCTAACCCTACATTTTACAGGTACAGCTAGATTCTGAAGATCCATTTTTATAAACCAAACTGATACACATGTATATTTTAAAATAAGTAATAGTAATTAGTTGTAAGGATGAGCTTCTGAAAAGCTAATTTGCATCAGAGGAAAATATCTTTTTGAAAGGATGCATAAGTATACTTTTTAAATACTGTGTCCCTAATCAGACATAAGAAAATATGTTCTGGTGATATGAAAAAGTATAGTGTATTTTAACAGTCTTTATAAAAGTTCTTGTTAGGAAAACCCAAAATTTCATAACAGTAAAAGAAAATTTAATATTTCAAAAGCCAGGATGTTCAAAGTAGATATTAATATTCCATCAAGAGCTTATTCCTTGCTGGATTTTCTTTTAACTACCTCTGAGTCACAGATAATGAGCTGACCTTAGTAATTATTCTGGATTTGGTGATATTTTACATGTTTGCTTCACTTGAAAGTGCTATTAAGATTGTAAGACAGACTGTGAAAACTGTATCTTGATATGTCATAATCTTCAATAAGAGCCTCTTTATCAGAAATGTTTGGTTTATAAATTAAAGCTTTTTGGATGGCTCATGCTCCATTCTCAAAATTGTATTTGAAATCTGTGCCATGTTCATTCTCATTTTTTTGTTCTTGTAAATATAGTCGATGTTTATTGAGGCAATGTAATATTTCAATGTTATTTTTGATGCTGTAGAGAAAGCATCCACCTTACTCTTTCACATTTTTTGCAGTAAGTACTGCTTATGCATATGCATATATATGTATATGTGTTTAATCTGCTTTTTTCCCAGTATATTAATTAGACATGAGTAGAAAAAGCAATCCTGTTAAGAACAGATAACTAAGTTAACACAGTCATTTTATTCTACATCTTTTTCAAACTGAATGAGGTCTTTGGTATGTTGCTTTATTTAAGAAAAGAAAAAAAAAAGTTTCAACAATGTGCTTAATAAAGACACTAGAGGGCACTGTTATTTCACTAAATGCACTGCATAGTGCATTCACAGAGAAAGCTCATCAGCGAGGATAACCTATAAAATCCAACATTCCTTTGTTTTCTTCACTTTGAAAATTCTACTTTTGCTTTACCCTTTTGAAGTAAAACTGTATCCATAGCTCTTGCATTTTCTAACCTTGAATTCCAGTGGAAAAAAACTGAAGAGCATGAAAAAACATATTGAGATTTGAAGCGAGGAAGGTGAATTGTATTAGATTCTGATTTTCTGTAATTCACCACCCAGGAAATGTGGCTAGTAGAAGAATAACAAGCCTGACATAATCAGTGCAGTAATCTATAGTAAGCATCTTTCTCAAATTGGACTAGCGTACCAGGTCCTCAACATCTGTCTTCTCATAGTAGTATGTTTCATTTTATTTTTTTAATGCATTCTATTATATTTTGCTCCGTCAGCTTCCTTGAATATGGCACAGCATGTATCATGAGAATTTTTTGGATTTTGGGAGGAGTTCAAGCTGATACTTTTTAGCCAGCAGTCTAAAAAGGAGAAAAAAAAATGCCTTTTATTATTATTTTTTCTTCCTTTGTATTCAGTTGAAATGCTTTCCTGTAGCTTGTTCTTTTTTATTGTATGTCAGTGTTTCTTATGGTGATACATCTCTGTTACGGTATAAACACTCCATACACCTTACTGATACAAGCAGCTATGGTTAATTCATTGTCCTATATTATTTTAGCTCTAACAACAAAGCGAATTCCAAATTTTACTTCCTGCTAGTGATGTCAATAATTTTGTTTAACCAGGGTTAGCATTAGGTGAAATATAAATGTGTACAGATAATATAGAATCTGTTACCAGATTTACCAGAGTTACCAGATTTCAGATGCTGAAATCCAAGCTAATCCTGGAAAGATAAATCGATATATGCAGTTTTTTGCAAATACACAGAGAATTCATACAAAGATGTGACACAGATTGTGTTGTAAAGCCTGCACAGGATGCCAGTTGTCTGGGAAAGCAGACAGTTGCCATAAAAATATGGGAGAGGATTTCCACTATACGTTTCCATTTGGGGGTAGGATTTGGCTATATAACATAGAAAGTCTGTTATTACAGACATGGGCGCCCTGCATAACCTCTGGTACAATTTCAGTGGATTGGAGTGGGTACCTGCGGAAATACTTATATTAAATTCTCCAGCTTAATTATTGCTCTAATTAGACGGGTAAATTATAAATTGGAGACAAATAAATGAGTGAAAATAGTTCTGTGTTTGGATTCCAAGAACTGTGTTATTTTTTCCTAGCAGAGAAAATTAGCAAAGTGTACTCGGGTGCAGTTCTAGCAGATAACCTGTGAAGATAAACGAGTCTCAACAGCAAAGGCAACGCAGCTTAAGCCTGCCAACGTTCAGTTACGCAGCAAATTTGCTTTCATGTATTTCATGAGCAGATTCCCTGTCCTGCTTTCAGTGTAGCTCAGATGGTTAGCATGGCTACAGTTCAAGGCCTTCGCAGACCAAAATCGTTGGGTGGAGGGGAATTCTTGCTTGCTGTACTTGATGCTGTGCTCTTACGGTCTCAAGGGGCCCTAGTAGCCTGGTCAGGGCACAGAAATGCAAGTGAAAGTGGAATTTGACTTGTGCTCTTTTCCTTACTGTTGCCAAAGAAAAGACATCTCCTTTGTTCAGACTGTAGGTATTACAATATCTGTAATGTCTCTTCCCTCTCCACAATTTCTTCTTGTCATGTAGGAAATTAGAGTTTTGTCAGAATTTTTTTTTTTAATAAATATTGGAAGACACATGATCTGCTTTCAAGGAGGAACATCCTCAAGGATGACTTTGTATCCACTTAGCTACTAGGGTTTAATCTTCTTTTTGCTTCTCTGCTACACATGTAGGCACTATTTTAATCCTCAAAGTTTTCAGCGACTTTCTTTAAACACCAAATGTACAAAAACCTACAAGAATCCACTCAGAATGACTGTCAGAAAATTAAAATATTTTAGCATTTTGTTTATAAATTGAGATGAGAAGTTGAAATATTGCACTCTCACAAAATGAAAAGCTAAGGAATACTGCTGTTATTTTAGATTTAATGATAAGTAGTTACAAACTTTTCTAGGAGTTGGTAATCTCAGTACTTCAGTATCCATCTCATCCTATTCCAGACTTTCTAGCTCCAGGGTGAACTGCAGTCATCCTGATTTTGATAGTGGGCTAAATACATTTTCTTTTAAAAAGGAAATCAACATCACAAAAAAATCCTACCTAACTCAACATTTATTGTTGAGCAGCATTTAATACATCTTTAAAACCTGCTTTTTTGAACTGATACGCATACTTTCAACTTGTCTCACTCTCTTACTCTTTTCCACGTGGCCTTCCCAAATTTCACTTTTCAAGGCCATTGTACATCCTATGTTACTCCTGTGCTGTTATATCACTGCATCCTCAAAAAATGCTGATCATATTAGAGCACACATCAGAATCAACTTCCTTGGATTTAGAAGTTCTGTCTGGATCTCTTGTCTGTTTTATTTCTGTAGTTCTTCACTGGCCTCTGGCTTTCTCTATTCCTTTATGAGATATGGGTGCTCTTGCTATATACATTTGCCTTTTCATTTGCCGCTTTGTCCAATAATGTGAAAACAGCCTAGTCTGAAACTTCTGAAAGAAAAGTAATCATATTAAATTCTGGTATCACCTCAGTGGTTTTGCAAATGCACTTTACATATACTTCTTTCATGTACATAAAGACTCACTTGGCAATTAATTCATCCTTGTAAACTTTTAATGCAATTAACTAAATTATCAGTTGATCTGGTGGCCTGGCATATTCATTGATGATTCTTAATGGTCACTTAATCTATTGATATTTCATTTGCCTGTCAAAGTAGGTTATTCATGCTATGCAAAACTGAGCTAAATTAGTCTTGATCATAAAGAAGATTTCTTGTTCCAGCAATGGAAATTGAAATTATTTCAATTTCACATCATATTTGTCCCTGTTGTTTTATATTGAGCTCATTATTATTGCTGCTGTATTAAAAGTTCTTCTCTATATTACAAGGTCTCTATCAACAGCAGTGATCCTTCGTATTTCTATTACTAAGAAACAAAGCTTTAAGAAACACAGAAAAGTATTTTATATAGAAACACAAATTTGTACAAATGAACAAGTATTAATGCTTAAATTTCTCAAATAAACATGCATGAGCTAATTTTAATGACCTTGCCAGTGGGCTGTGAACTCTTCATGCAGAAATAATGTTCTGTTCCAAATGCAGAGTTCCAAATACTGTCAACAGTAA